CAACTTGTTGATCCTTATGAGGTTTTGATGATGATGTTAAGAATTGAGCAAACTTCCATTTAATAAGGATTTTCTAGTGTTGTGATGTTTGCAGGTTCAGTAAGCGTTGAGGGCTGAAGTAGGAATTGAAACAGAGGAACTTTAGAGGATCCATGAGGATACAAGTAAATTTAGAAGAAGAGTTCCAGAAATGGAACTTCCAGAAGTTTCTTAACAGGAACTTCAAAACGGGTTGTAACGACCTGGTTTCGGTGTAATGCTGGGGAAAACCCTAAGATCCAGAATATATCAAGACTACAGGATTCCAGAACAAGAGTTTCAGAGAAGCAACATGAAGACAGAGAAATAGAAGTATATTGCTCTAGGATTCATGTAAGTATGTTGGACATAAAAGTCGGTCTGGAACAAGTCTATATAGAACCAAGGTGAATTCCAAACAGTCAATGAAATTAGAGTAACTGACTTGTCAGGAACTCAGAGACTGTCAGAGTTCAGGAACCTAATAGGAACTTAAGTATGAACGTCGTTAAAAGTCGGTTTTAATGATATATATATTTACCTTATACGTGCATATCTTTTAGGGATTTGGTTTTACTGAATAAAGATATTTATCTTCTAATAAATCCCTTTTGGAAAAAGATAAGATTGTTTAAAAAGTATTTTAAACAAAAAGATAAGTTTTGAATAAAATCTGATTTTATGCTAAGTTTATCTTATTATTATTGACAGTTTTTATTCTTAACAAAAAGATATATTTTCGGAAAACTGATTTTTAGAAAATATCTTTTAAACTTATCTTTTCAGAAAATCTATCTTTTTCAAGATGAAATGAATAATTCGAGTGTACTATAAATATGCTCATATGCATTCATTCAAAGTTGAGGCTGACGAAGTGTAGTGGTCGTGCTTAATGGTTTTATCCTTCACCACGAAGCTAAGTCAGTCCTCCTGGTCAAAGTTCCTATCAGGTTTTTGGTTACAGTACGTCTAGTGAGTTCCAGACAGATCTTGAGTGTTCAACATATTAGTTTTATCTCTTTATTCATAGATATGTATTTAGGGATATTCGATGAGATCTTGTAATGGGAAAAAGGGTTTTGAGTGTTTTGTATTTTGGGGTGAGATTGTGAATTCTCTTAAATTCACGCTTGTGTATGAGTTTGAAATCTGGTAAAATTCGAGTGGTAGCTGTGAGTGCACAGTGAGTGAAAGGAACCTGAGAAGTGTCTTGGGTCACCTAGGAAGTTTCCTGGGTAAAGGGAGAAAAAGGGTCCTGAGAAGTGTCTTAGGTCTGGTAGGAAGTGTCCTATCATAGAGTCAAGTGTCCGTGGCGGAACTTGCAAAGCAAAGGTCTGTGTAATAGGTTGTACTAGGAGAGTTGCCTATTATAGTGGAATTTGTTTATAAGTCCCAATAGGGCCGAGGTTTTACTTCCAGTTAGGCACTGGATGGTTTCCTCGTAAAACTTGCTTTGTGCTTTAAGTTCCTTTACGTTTTGTTTTTAATTTCCGCATAAGTTTCGCGATTGGAACCTACTACCATTCACCCCCCCTCTTGTAGTAGTTCATCTAAAATAACAGTTCGTATGTTAGTGGATCCAATTCCGACTAACTCTCCTTTTTTATACATCATCCGCAAATGCAAGTCCCTGATCTCGAATAGAGATTGGGAACTCTCTATTGGACATTGTTACAGAGAAGCTAACCGGGCGGCGGATTGGTTAGCCAACTTTGGAGCATCGTCCACCCAAAAGCTTGTCATCTTCGAGGCGGTCCCGGAGGACCTTCGTGCTATTTTATTGGAGGACTTACGAGGTGTAACGAGGCATCGAATGGTGCCGTTGGAGTAGAGCTTCTAGAGCTAGTTTGAATAAGAGCTTTGTAGCTCAGTAGTTCTTTTTTTTTTTTTACTTTGTTTTGTTTCCTTTCTTTTTGTGTGCTGCTTTGTTTTGTATGTTTTTCCCTTCTAGCTTGCTTAGTTTGTTATTCCTTTTTGGGGCTTGCCCCTAGTTCTCACCAAAAAAAAAAAAAAAAAATTGTCTAATGTCTATATCAATCAATGAGAATACTCTAGTTGTTTAAACGTCCATCATTATCCAACTTAATTAGTTGTTTTGTAGTGTGGTTTAAAATAAAGGTGCTGATTTTGCCAAGAAAAAAAATAAAAAATAAATAATAAAACCACATCCAAAGCAAATCTAAATATGTCAAGCTCAAGCATATTATTATATCAATCTTCTATATTATTTCATTGTCAATAATAACAAGCACTAAATATTCTAATGAAATTGCTTGATTAATGCATTATTGTAAATATACTATATCAAACATTAATCTTCATCCAAAATTTGTTATGCTGTCATCATTTATCTTTTATGGTTTATTTTGTTCCTGGAATGCAGTTCCATATTTTTGTTCAACGATTATTTTGTGTTCTACTTATTATTATTATTTTTTTCCTACAAGTATTATTTATCATAAAAGAAAATGACAATGTCGACAAACAATAAATTGTTTCAACTAAAATCTACTCCCTCCGTCCCCTTTTAATAGTCCCTTATGGGCATTTTTCACGGTAATTAGTAAACACAAAAAAGAATAGTTAAAGTACATTGAAAAAGTAAATTGATATTGGGTATGCAAAAAATTAGAGAGAGAAATTAATAAAAGTATATGAGAAAATAAAATTTACACGGGAAAGTTAAATTTGCACAAATATTGTTGCAAATTGGAGGGAATTTTGGTAAAAAATTAATATTAATAGTTGTTGGAAAAAGCAAATGGGGTGAACATTGTGGGACTAAAATTTGTCCATAAGGGACTATCAAAAGAGGACGGAGGGAGTATGATTTTAATTACCAAGGTTAGCCTTCTTTAATTTTTTTTAAAAAAAGTCATATTTTTTTTTCAATTACAAATTTAATACTTCCTCTATTTTTTTTAGTTGCATCTCTTTCCTAATAAGGAAGTTTTAAATTAGTTGCATTACTTTCATTTTCCTAATAAAGAATAAATATAATAGAAAATTAGTAAAAATAAATTCAGTTCAGCAAAAAATAATCACAGTTCAATAAAATTAATTTCAATTCAATAAAAATAATTTAAGTTCAGCAAAAATAATTTCATTTCAATAAAAATAATTTCAATTCACCAAAAATAAGGTGAAGTTGACAGAACCTTAACGGTAGTGATCTAATAATAATGGTGGATTGACTACATCATAACGAACCAGGAATAATTAGAAGATTTTAATTGGATTATTTTAGAGCATTATTTTTCTTAAAATATATAGTGCTTTGTAAGTTTGTATTATTGGCAACAAATAAATAAAGAATAATTTTTTTCTTCCAATTTTTTTTTTTTAATTATTGATATAGTAAATTATTTTTGGGTACATGAAGATTACAGGTAATGGATATATAGAAGATTTGCCTTGGAAGTGGCTTTTATTGTCTTGGAAAAATCATGTCGGAATCCGTCAAAGATATTCGAAAAAAGAAAAAAAAAAATCAAGTAACATGGCTACCATAAAATCGTCCAGTTACATTTATGATATTATTATGCATGATTCTAAATCGTAATTGGTGAATTGTTAAACAGCCATATTTTGCAAATCATGGCCTTGTTTTGGCAAATGGCTGTTGGCGGTTGGCTAGCTCACTTGGCTTGTTTGACTAGCTGAAATGTTTGGTTGTTTATAATGGCTTTTGAAATTGGTTGTTTATAAAAGTGTTTGATAAATTAATTGTTGGTTGTTGGCTGTTTATTAGATAATTTGTGGGTCAACAAGCCAAAAGCCAACAAAAAAACTACTCAAAGCAGCTTTTTCATTTTGGCTTAAAAGCCAGCTTTTTCGCTGACTAAAAAGCCAATTACCAAACATTTTTTTGGCTGTTTGACCACCTAAAAAGCCAAAAGCTAATAAAAAAGTCAATTACCAAACATGGCCCATATCTTCCATAGTTCCATATGTCGTGCAACGACATTAATTGCAAGAAAAATGTGCAGTAATTAATACACACATGCTACATCTGAATTCATGCATGCATTGTACTTCTAAATGATATATGTTAGCCTCTATCAGATCAGATCCACCTTGTTGACCATGATTTTAGGTAGCCTTTTTTGCCGAGTAATGCTAAAGTCAAATTAATAATGCTTAATAAGACATTGTTATATCTATCTACCCACTAAGGTAAGTCGGTAGTCTTCACCAAAAAAAAACTAAGGTAAGTCGGTTGTCCTTTACTTTAATGTAGATAAACTTATGAATTTTTTTTGGTTCTGAAACTTGAAAACGAACAAAATTGATAGAAAATTTTGTCAATAACTATTATTTGAATGATCACTTTTGAAAAAATCTACTACTTAATTTTATTTTATTTTTGAAAAAAAACTGACATAAAAATACAAAAAATTTGAATAGCACTACCACTTTTGGTTTTCCAATTCTCTCCAATTAATTAAAGAGGGCCAATTTATAAAAAAATCTGCCCGAAAAACCCACATGAAACTAACAAAATTGTCTCTACATTAACCCTAAATTGGAAGTACAATTTAATTGCACCAAATTCCCGCCCTAATTTTGTAGAACCCTAAATTTAATTTATTTATTTTTTTGACATAAACCCTAATTGTAATATTCAATTGAGAAATTTAATCATCTACAATGCGAAATTAAAGATAATTCACCTATAATTGTGTTCAAGCATTGGATTTCATTGTTGTCTCTACCGCAATTGATTGAAACATTATAACCCCACCAACCCGAGATTCTTGTTGGAAAATTAAATATGGTAGTGCTACTTAAACTTTTTGTGTTCTTGTGCTAGTTCTAAAAAAAATATGGAGTAGTAGGTAATTGTTATCAAAAGTGGTTATTTTAAATGATAGTTGTTGACAAAATTTCAAGAGATTTTGGAGTCAATACTCATCATCTGTCTTTGTGGCTCTCCAAACACTAAAAAAAAATAAATCCAAGAGATCTTGAAGTCAATTCCGTGAAACATAACTGTTAAATCTTTTATCAATTCATAAACAATACGAATCGGAGTCACCGAGTGTAAATATTCATATTGCATACATAAAGTACAATTACTTATTACTTTATTAAGATACACACAATCAAACATAAAACAACAGCAAATAAACAGCCTTCTATGATCAGCTGTACATTTCGCAAATTCAAACATATTGCATACAACAAACGATAATAACACACCCGGATATAACCCTTAGGCCATCAATCGATCGGTAGTTTAATTTTCGACGTAGAGCTAGTCGATCACTTGTCATCTTTAAGGTGATGAGCCTCGATATCTCTAGAGACTGCAATGCAAAAGTCGATTAGCTTGGTAGGATAATGCCCTTTATCATCAATTGTATCAAACTCGGCGGTCCATTTCACTCCGGTTATGTCACCCATTGGAATCACTTGGACTGTAAGAGTGAAGGTCTTAAACTCGTTTAGGAGATCTCCTTCGATGATTTTGAATCTCACTAGCTTGTTCTCCTCGTCGATTACTTCCACTAGCTCCTTTGCAACACATTTTTTTCCGTCTGTAATTCATGGAATCACCATCGTTATTGAGATTTATTGATGTGAATGCAAATTGAATTTTAAAATAGCGCGAAGTAGGTTTGATTTTTGTAGCTAGTCAAGCCTTTCAACGAACTTAATTTAATTATAAGCCTTTTAACTTACTTAATTACACATAGCCCTGATTAAGGAGTTAAATCAATTAATTAATTCGAATAAGAGGAAGGATTAATAGTACTTCCTCCATTCTTTTTTAGCAGACATATGTTTATCATGTTTGTCAACGCTTAAACTTAATAATGATTGACAACTATAATTATATGATTATAACGAAATTCCACATAATTATGCTAAACTAGTCAAAGAAATTCATATACTACGTACAAACATCATATAATTGTAATAATGGATTTTGAAAATTACCGAGGGTATAGTTCCAATTAATGATAGAGCCAGGCTTGCCAAATTCACCGTCATGCACATCACAAGCATGAATATTTGAGGGTGACATGTCTGAGACATGGTGAGGCCTTGTGCTAAAAATTTCATGAAAAATATCACCATGACAATTTATATCAACTTCCACTTCCAATTTCCCTTTGATGCCCATTTTTGAGAGAGTAGAGTAGTGCAAACAAAATTAGAGATTTGTTGACCAATTATTTGTGTTAATAGCTCCCTTTTATAAGCGCATTAAATATTGCCTAGTATATTTTATTCTGAAAGGCCAAATATTTATATATATTAATTATATATTAATTTGTATTCTATGTTATGGCTGGTTATCGGCAACAACTGATATCTTCTTTTGTCGACCACACTAATATATTAATTATATTTAATTAATCTTATCGGAAACTCTTGACACTAATTCGCTTTTTTTGTGTCTGGCTCGTCTCGTGTTATATGAAAAAAAGTATTAGCCTCATTCAATAAATTTATCAAAATTTCCATAATTTATTGGTTTTTTTTTTCTTAAGGCTCTGTTTTCTTCACCTTAATTTTGCTGAACTGAAATTATTTTTACTGAATTGAAATTATTTTTGCTGAACTTAAATTATTTTTACTGAACTAAAATTATTTTTGCTTTATTTTTTACTGATTTTCTATTATAATTCTTCTTTAAGAAAACTGAATTTTACTGAACTGGACTTATTTTTACTGAACTGAAATTATTTTTACAGAATTGAAATTAATTTTACTGAACTGAACTTATTTTTACTGAGCTGAAATTATTTTCACTTAATATTATTTTTTTAAGGTGAATAGAACAGGGCCTAAGTGTGTTAAGTCATGTTAATTTTGTGTTGGGAATCTTAACAATAATTCGACCTTTTAAAGAAAAAGTGTCGTTTCATGTTGACTCATTTAATTAAACACATGTCGAAAACCTTGGACACAAACCCAATATATTTGTGGCCGGTTCGTATCGTATTGTCGTGTCGTGTCAACTTTTGCCACCTCTACAAACCAATATTGCACTTTATAAAAACTTATATATTACATATTTACATTATTAATGCTCAACCGTCATATTTATTCACTACTGAAGAAGATTCAGCTAGAGGTATTATACCATCAAATTAACATTATTATTCACCTAATATTCAATTAAATTGAATGATTGTAACTAATTGTCAAATATAGTTACTTTAACAAAAATTAGCAAATCCATTTAAAAGCACTTTGATCAATAGCATAGTAGATCAAAAGAAGTTTGATCTTGCTTTGGTATAGCAATTACACGAAACAAAAAAAATTATAATAATAATAATGAATATGAATACGTTACATTCAATTGAATAATGTTAATTTTCCAAAACAAGGTATGTAAAGATAAATTCATAAATTAAACTAGGTTCAATAAACCTCAAAGAAAAGCCGTATATTTTTATAAGCAATACGCCAATACTACTCCGTAAGATGTTAATTTTTGTTTGATAAAAGGGAGAATACTTTTTCGGACAAGAGAAAGAAAAAAAAAAGGTACACGTTTTATAAGAATCTAATTATTTTATATTGGAGTTAAAAAAAATAAATAAATAAAAGGATTAATGTCCTAATTAATCAGTTGTCAAACAATCATTCATTATTAATTTATAACCATTGACAAATCAAAATCGATTCATTATTGATTAGTTGTGAATTATTAAACACTTATCAAACTCAAAAGAAAACAAATTTAGACCCATTAAGCGCTGATCATGTCCAGTGGTCACAAATTGCAAACAATAAATATACAAATAATTAAAAAAAAAAGCTCATGTACACTACGCGTTTAATTTTTGTATATTAAATCCATAATAGAAATAATTATACTCAGCAATTATTGGATGAGATGGACTTACTACCATGTATTCAGTGTGATGTAAATTTATGATCCAATATTTGAGACTCGTTGTCCAAAGACCAATATTTAAGATTCATTATTTCAATGTCTAGTGTATGAGAGGGATATCAGCTCAAGTAGTTAGAGCTTTCCTCCCGATTTCAAGAGAAATTAGTGAGTAGATCGGGCGTTGCCCTGGGTTACTACTTTTATAGTTGTGCAATTGCTAATTTTTAGAGCATCTAATGTATATGTAGTATGTGTCTTCAATACTTTATAGTATAATATTATTTATTGTGCAAGGTTAAAGCATAATTGAACAATAACCTTTATTTAAAGAGGTCAAATGATCGAACCTTCTCATCCATATATTTTTTCCAATATAGTTGAGACAACATGGAGTATTGTTGGTTGTGTGGATAACGTGGCATATTGAGGTGTTGATTGGATGGTGTGGCATAATAAGAAATTGAGTAAGTGACATGGCGAAATGCCTAGATGTTTTTAGTAAAGTCTTTTAATATATTAGTATAGATTGGGAAAAATGTCTAGTATATGAGAGTTGAGAACAAACTAAAATATAACGTTTACTGTCTAATATAATATAGTATTATCATTCAACACTCTTGATTTTATTCATTATTTTCAGTTAATTAAATATTTACCCTGCTCAATTGATTTTATTTTTTCTAATCTAAAAATGATTTTTAGCTCTCTCATTTCATTTTTATTACTTAGAATAATTATATTATATCACACATGCATGGCATAGATCACATCAAAATTATATACTCAATAGTCCATATTCATGCATAATTAATAACTTCTTATTGACTTATTATTGCTTAACAAGTACTTACAATAAACAGCAATTTAAACAACGTGTTCCTGCTTGATTCTACTTCCGTCAATGTCTGAGGGCTGGTAATGGTTTACCGTCCAATTGCTCACCTACACAGCCAATACAGATTAGCTAACCCGGGGGTTATCCGCGAATAACCACTCCGATGCTAAAGTTAGTACCTTTGTGAGAAGAAAGTGAAAGAAGAGAGAGAAAATGTTTTAGAGAGAGAGAGATTCTACCTCTGAAATGAGAATTTGTTTGGGTATTTATAGGATCGCAACCAAGCAGGTGCCACCTATACAGATAGGTGGCACACCGACCTTGGTACTAGCAGGTGCTTACGCGGCACTAAGCAGCCCTCCACGTGTCAGTGGGACATGCCACGTTTCGAGAAGCAGCTCTCCACGTGGTAGAGAATAATGCCGGTAAGGACATGAATTATTCAATAATTAACCATTTCTTTAAACTGCAAGGCACTCTTTTACCGGCATGTTATGATACTACCGGTATATCCCGTACAACTAGCCCCCCAAGTGAGGGCGTTAGTAAAACTGACGTGCTCACTTGTGATGGTTAATGGTGGTGGTATGTACAAAGCAGCATACAAGCATGCTTAGAAAACAAACAGAAAATCTACGATTTGCCCCCCAAGCGAGCAAATTGACGGTAGTAATTTAAATAAATCAACAAGAAAAAATCTACGATTTGCCCCCCAAGTGAGCAAATTGACGGTAGTAATTTACTCGATAAATCAACGAGAAAAAAAAATCTACGATTTGCCCCCCAAGTGAGCAAATTGACGGTAGTAACTTTGGTCAATAAAGCATGGAAAAAATGTCGACATGGTTATTGTGAATTAAATATGAAACCGAAAATAGGAGGTAAAACGATTTGTTGTTTATTTAAAAATTTATCCCCGAGGATTTGGCGGGAAAATGTAATAAGGTAATGGGGCACGTGTCAGTCATCGATCGAAGCAGGTTAATTTTGAAAAGGTGTTTATCACAGCCGTTAGATTGCATGCAATAAATGTCACATCAACCGCTTCATTTGGACAGTATAAATAGCTTCTTTCGCACTTTGACCCTTCATTTCCTTTGCGAAAAAATTTTGAAAAATTTCTACTTCACTTCGCTCGTACTGCACTTATATTTCTGCGATTCAAGGCTCAATTTGTCAAGGGTTTGTTCAGTTGTGTTGTGACCGGTGTTTGTAAACGGAGGACACTTAATTTCCGAGTTACGCTTCAAGAGTTGAGTTCAAAAAGAGGTAAAAAAAACCCTAACTCTCTTTTCGATTTTTCGCTGGTTTGTGGTTAAGTAGTTTTGCGTTTATTTCATTATTTGTGAATGTCTGGTTCTGGAATGCATGCGAATACGGGTAAAGCCAATGAGGCTGAACTCTGTACCCCCTTAACTTCTATAGAAGAAAGAGAAGCTTATTACCGTCATAAATTTCTAGCTGACGCCGAGAAGGCTTTGCGTCCTACCAACCCCGATATCCCAGAGGACACAGAGATTACCGACGTTGAGCCTATTAGCGTTCAATATCATTTAAGGTCAAACTTGGATTTGTTTAATCAATACGGCACTAATATTGACAAGATGCCGAGAACCAAACATACCAGTTTCCAACGTGAGGTTGGTGAAAGCAGTAGACCTGCTGTTGATGAAGAAGTTGGTGACCCTGAGCATGAAGCTTCGGATATCCGAGAAGAAGATATCCGGTCTGTTGAGGAAAGCCTAGACCGTCAAGAAAGTGGGGGTGATAGCATCGGTAATGAAAATGCAGAGGGATCAGAAAATCTTGAGGGAGGAGATGATGAGGAGGAAGGCAACGAGACCGACGAGGAAATTGTTGCGGATTTCAATGTTGCTGCTCAGATTGCAGACGAAGAACGTCTCGACGAGGAATATGACTCAGACCAAGATGATGCAAAATATCTAGTACCACAAGAAATCCCTAGCAGTTATGAGATAAATGATTGCGTCGTGGATCCCGTATGGTTGCAGACAGCGACCGAGAAAGATTACTGTCAACATGGTAAACGCTTCTACCGTCTACCTGACGGATATGAACTCAGATTACCGGGCACAGGTCAAACGGCCTTGGACTGTCCTCCCGGCCATATCGTCGTATATGCCAAACATTTTGAATTTGGCTTACGGTTTCCGCTTCACCACTATATTGAAAAAATATTTCGGGCTTGGAATGTATCTATTGCACAGTTAACGCCTCCAACCATTCGCAACATAGTCTCTCTTGTCTGGGTAATGATCTTCATGGACTTTCCCCTTACCTTGAACCTTTTTAGGAGGCTACATTGGATAAAGAGAGACAGTCAATCACCTGGGTGGTGGTCTTTGTTTACTGCTCCTGGTAATTGCACAGTGTGGCCGAAATTGACCAGTTGTAAGAACTGGAAGAATGAATTTTATTTTATGAGTGTGCCTGACGATTTTACCGTCCGTAGGACATTTCATCATCCACACAGTAT